GGAGACGGAGATTTCAGCGAGAAAGGCATTAGAGNGGATTTTCAAAAGAAATCCTAAAATGAACGGTAGAGATGAGTGCCCGTCCATAACCAACGATCTTTTGCCATATATACCGCACTGCGACTTGTGACTCAGTAGCATAACGTTGTCTTCCTTATCACAAGTATCACAAGTATAAGGGAGACAGCCAATAAGTCTCATTCGCTACTGACAGTCGCTTGTGGCGACAGCGGATTTATTCCGCTTGAGCGGTGGAACCTTGGTGAGTTATGTTTCAAATTATGGGTTTTGAATTCGCTGTCATATTCGCCATGGGGTAGTGCGCTCTTTGGATACTGTGCAAATGTCTCGAATTGCTTTAGGCCTCTGAAGACGACGAGAACGTCGAAACGTTAGGCCGCTGATTAATAAAAGTTCCACCTAACAACCTCGCACGGCACAAGAATATTGTAACTAAGCACTTTATATTTGGGCAAATTAAATTTCTCCTACTGTGCGTGCCTCTCCCGTACCACCTTCATCCCGTCTGCGGAACCAATTCTCCAAATGTTACCGACATACCAAGGGGTGCTCCATGGAAGCAAACTTCCCCATTGAGTTCCCACGCGTACACTCATGCAATCGAATCAGCGCAAAATCCACGACCTCGTAAAAATACACCGAAGCATGATCAAAAAAATTCTCACCGTAGATGCACTTGATGCTGTCAACTACGACAAACATTCCGAGCAAGAAAATCAATACTGTCGCCGAGTAAGACATCCTTCAGTCGTTGGTATTCCTCCTGTAAGAGAATACAGTAATGAAGAAAGATGTGCGGTAACGAGTTCACAGTGGGGATTGAATGCGTCAGTGATAGAAGAATTGATAATCGAGCATTTATATTGAGCGATGTTGGCAATCCGATGACTAATATGGGTTTTACTTGGCAGGTGTTATTCATGCAAAAGCTGCTTATCAAACTGTTCTTAATGTTTACAGAACTAGAAAAAACTTTGTGGAATAACATTGAACAAACCATGAGTGTGTGATGGGATCGAGCAGTACCGAATGCCTACAAAAGTAGAAGTTTCGTGACTATGTGTGCCAAATGGTTGTCCAGTAGAAGAGGTCGAGGTAGCGAAACCGTCATGCTGGCGTGGCGTAAGTCCGTACTTTTCACGGCTATCGAGGGAAATAAAAGTGTTTTGGGTGTATCTGGATTGTTTGAGTTGCACAGTGCCGAACTG